AGATGGCTAACCTATGCAAATGTCAGAAACAGTGCTTCGATGAAAAGTAACTACTGAACCAAGGTGGTCTAACTCACCAGAGAGGCAGGTACCTGGCATAGTGTTTAAAGTGATTGCTCAAGTATAAGTTGGGACATGCTTAAGAAAGACTTCCAGTAGAGGCTACCCTGCTGGTTGCTGTACAGACGATTAGTGAACAAGCATAATCGGCAGCGAGGAGACAGCTATTGTTGAAGGATTCCTTAACGCCATCGCACACTTTCAACAACAGCACCCACTGTGTTCTAGTCAAACAGTGGAGCTTCACAGAACCATGAATGGGCAGCACACAAGCCACTGATCCAAGCGTTTCTTGTCAGCCACTGTAGTGTTATTAAGGCAATTTTTCATCTCGCTGATTGCTAAGACACAGACCAAGTTATGGGAAATGAAACTCTGTTGTATACTCCCAGAAATGGCCCAAAATTCAAACACGTGCAGGTTTTGTGAAAAAAATAAGGCAATTCATATTCTCAAAGTACTGCAAAGATTGCAAATCCCTATGTAATACTGTATGTGCCACATTCCTATTCAAGCTCTTTGCTTGGCTAGTATTCTATCTGTTACGTCACCCTTAATGAGTTACGGAACACACCTGCACTTGGCCTTCAGACAAACTAAGGGCTGATGTACAGTTTACAGCAGAGCTGTCCAATTCCTATACCAGAAGGCCATACTCTAGCAGGGTTTATACAGCTCTCCCATTCTGCAAAAGCTCCAAACAGGGCTATAATGGGGATAGAGGGTCAATGCCATTATCACTTTGTGATAATGGCACTTTGTGAGGCTCGGTCCTGGTCGTTTTGTTCCAATTGCGCCCTTAATGACCAATACTTACTATTGCCAGAAACTGATCTGCTTGCTCGTTTAGGCTTTTGTTCTGTACTCAGCCCGTGTTATTGATAACACCCTCACTAACGTATCATTATAAAGTGAAAGCATGCCAGCGCTACAGGGGTAATGGAAAGAGGAGATGAACATATGGCATTTATAGTTTTAAGGCCAGAAAACTCAAGCCAAAACCCAAGCCTCTAAAGATCGGGTTAAAAATTCCCTAATGAAACAGCCTCTCTGGAGGTGGCATGTAATAATACCAGTCCAAGAAATAAAAACACACCCCTCATTTTTGCACAAAACCTTGGCCAGCTGCAGAACAATTAATTCAATTTCTTTTTATTTAGATTATATCTGCTATACCAATTTTATAAGAATAATATTTGATAATATTAGAAGGCTGATGCTGCAAAACTATCCTATGTATTTTTTTCCTGTAATGCAGAGAAAAATAAAGATGGGAAAAGGACAGTGTTTGGGATAAGGATTTCCTGTTTCAAGGAGCATTGTCAGATTAAGGGAGTGCTCTACACTGATTTGGCCTCCCTCTCTGGTTTCAGCTAATCCTGTATTACAAGACACAGGAGGAAATCACTGTCACAATCATGCTCTTCAATTGTGACAATTTTTTTTTTACTGATGGGCACTGTCGGGACATGTATTCTTTTGTAAGATATAACCTTAGTGAAGTTATCCATTAGCCCAGTGGTTCTCAAACTGTGGTACGCGTACCGGCAGTGGTACATGGCGTGCTGTCAGGTGGTACGCCAAATGACCCTGGAACTGTGTTGTGTGCGCTGAAAAAATAGGGACGGGTTTTCTTATTTTGTATTTTTATACGTGTCGAATATGCAGCCTACGTACTACAATACAGTGCGCGCTAATACTTCAGTGGACACAAGAGATACTCTGTAATTCTATACCACTCTATAGGAATCCGTGCTACGGACGCAAGTGACCAATTGTATTTAAAAAAAGCTACTGTATCTCCAGCAAATAGG